ACATCAAGAGTCACGTCATCCAAGAAATGCGAGCTTAAATAAATTAGTCATTAAGTGTAAGACGAGTAGCCAGTTTAAGCATGTTTTGCTCTCTACCCCATTATTGGGAGTGGATAAAAAAAAAAAAATTATGCACTATAATAGTGTGCGTTGAAGTATCACTTGAAGATTAAAAGTATAGCGCTTAGTAGCAGCAAAAATCTATTAACACTAAGTGAAAAGATTAGCGCCAAGTGGCTGCAAAATCTATTAGCATTGCTAACTTGTCTAAGTCTGGACACTTTGTTCCACACTTAAGTGTGAGACATGGATGAGTGCTTCTTTGTGTGATTCCTTTACTAGGCTAACGTTTTGAATAACATTTACCACTAAGCGCAAACGTTGCAGCATAGTAATGAAAAGGTCAAGGCTGACAAGGTTGTTATGACTCTAAGAATTTGACGCATGGCTCGTGAGAGCAAGAGCATTGTGTTGAATTAGACTATTTAGCCTTAAGTTACTTCAGGAGCTGTCATAGTTGATAGCTTATTCTCTCCTTCTTGTGGATAGTAGAATTAATTGCAAGTAACTATGAAGCGAGAAATAGATATTGGCAAGAGGAGTATCGTCATCTTTCAACTAGATGTATTAAAGTGTATGGAGAATAAAATTGACTTGAAGGTGCAGGGATTAGCACTTACTAGTTAAATTTGCGACTTAGGCGCAGTTGATATCTCCATGACATCTTTTTATGAAATCTCTCTCTTCTTTGATTCTTCATGCTATACATAGCCTTCTGAAACCAAATTATGCAAAATCCCAGTATAAAGAAGGTTGGGGGCCTTATAGTGATTAAAGTGATTCAATTTCTAGCAACCACCTTCTTCAAATGGAAGCAAAACTTTCAAAACTTTCTCCTCGAGGAAATAAGCCATTTTTCCGATGCAAAGGTGATGGTGGTTGGGGAGAGTGGGATATACTCATCCGTGACACTTTATTCGTTTGAGAGGCCAAGTACTCAAGTGCTACAGCAATATCCCCAATGGCGGGGCGGAAATTTGCTTGCTCCTGAAGACACATTGCAGTAACAGCAACTGTGTGGTGCAAACTACGGACAGGGAAGCTCCCTTGGAGCCGGGGATCAACCAACTGAATGAACTTCTTCCGGTCCTTTAAGAAAGGTCGAGACTGCAACAGTTTAAAAAACCAAATTTAAGGAGCAGTCACATTATACCTACATAATAGAGAAATTATCCTCAGATAGAAATTCTGGTCAGAAGTGCATCTCATTGCTAGTGAAGAAAATCTTATTCCAACCCAAAAAAAGGGGATAATCTTATTTCAAAAAAAGAAAAAAAGGAAAAGAGCACCTTTAAAATGATTCGTCATCTACTTTATGGAAAATTATACAATAGTTCCAGAGTATCAAGTGGCCATACTTCCTCACCAATCACTATTCATTATGCCCCTCATATTCCTCAATCACCCAACACAAATAATCAATACTCCACTTTCTGCACCAATCATACTACCATGGGGCACCCCGTGGCCGTACACCCAGACTACCAAATAATCACCACTAATTTAAAGTATCAACAAGATTTTTATAATATAAAAGGATAAGAATGCCCTATCCCAATATACAAGAGTTCAGAAATCCAGGTAACAATAACCAGGTAAAAAGGGGTAACACGAGAGAGCACATATAAAACCAAATCCATTAAGCCCACATAAAAATAAGGCTACTAGATTCAAGAATGAAAATAAAATTATGGGGAAGCCTCACTTTGATAGACATCAAGTGATTAAACACAAAGAGGCGAAGACTTTAACTCACCCAAACAATAAGGTTCTGCTCTCCGGGCTTTTTAGAGGAGTCAATTGCCTTACGCCCAGTAATCAACTCCAACAGAACAACACCAAAGCTATAGATATCAGATTTTAGAGTCAGCTTGCCACTCATGGCATACTCTGGGGCACAATATCCATATGTTCCCATTACTCGGGTTGAAACATGAGTATTGTCACCAACAGGACCAAGTTTAGCAAGCCCAAAATCTGAGAGCTTAGGATTGAAGTTTTCATCCAACAATATATTGGCAGATTTTAAGTCTCGGTAAATAACTGGTGGACTTGCTTTACAATGGAGATACTCGAGACCCCGAGCAGCACCAACAGCAATCTTCATTCGTGTGCTCCAACTCAGTGGCTCTTTATCGGGTTCAATATCTGAGAATAGGAAGCACCAAATATGTCCAATTAACAATTGCGGCTTCAAAGGTAGTGCTAGTGTGCAGTTTTGTAGAGAATTCAGAAAACAAGCAAACAAACAGCATTCAGAGAAAAATAAAGTATCATGCTTTATTTCTTCTAAATGTGCGCTGATAATTTTATTTTCTTTTTTTCAATTAAAAAGTAAACTGTGCTTTTAGCAAAACAGGATTGGTGTAGCCAACCATTTATGTAAATTCACACAATGAATGTTCTTTCTTTCTTTCTCCTTTATTAAAATGTACTTAAAACTAGCACCATGTAAGTGAATTGTGCATTCCATAACAGAAGAAAATACCTACAAACCAATCATCCAAAAAAGACTTTAAAAAAGAAAAACAGCGGAAAAAGAAAATGGAAAAAAAAAACAAAAAAGGAAGAGAGAGAGGTAGTCCAAGAAATGCTGCTTGGAATTCTATTGAGAGTCCACTCGCACATAGAGCCACATTATTCATTCGACCGGGAGGGGGGAAAGAAAAAAGTAGGGCGGACTGACTCAAAGACAGAAGGTTTAAGAATTCCTGTAGAAAGGCAGGTTTAATCAATCGGTCTTACCCATCGAGGAATCATACTATTGTACTAGGAAGGCACATTGAAGTCTCTCAAGTCAAAGTAGATCAATTCTATCTATGATCTTTCAATTTGCATCGCGTTGATGCTTTCTTAATAAAGTTTGATTATTTATCAACAAAAAAAAAAAAATCATTGAGTTTAAAGCAGCTCACTCCATATTAGGGGCATCAACAAAGATGTCAATAGCCAGGCTTCAAACAAGGCCTATCAACAATCTACAATAAGGTCCCATCTCAAAGACAAAAAGATTAAGTCAAAGTCAAGCCGATCCCCAAAGTCAGGCATTTCAAACTCATTCATTAACTATACTCGATCCTGTAATTCGAAATAGCTTAAAAGAGATGAAAGTGCACTTCAGTAGCAGGATTGGAATAACCAATTGGAGAATTATCAAATTGACTGATTGCACTAGAATTTGTCATTCCAACCCAAAAGTAGAAAGGAAAGATTTTATGCCCCACCATCAAAAAAGAATAAGAGTAGTCAAAGCCTTGCCTACAGAAGCTCATCTTAGTTTGATGGAGCAACAAAACTTTGCCTTGCTTTTGCGCAAACTATTCTTGCTTGTATGAGGTATAGTGAAAGACCAAGAAAATGAAACAAAATATTTTTGGCGTAGGGCTATTAGCAAGCAGGCTTAGATAAAGGGGTGACTTTGTTTGCCCTCTGAAGTTGAATAGCACGAGTTAAAATGCCAGCCTCTCATAATAGAGATCAGAGGATTATAAATTTTATATTGATATTGTTTGGCAGATGAGAAGCAGGCAACTCAAGCTATAAAGTCAGGGAGTAAGAACTTTGGGAAGGTCTGGCTGTGACTTTCTTGGCATTGAAGTGGCCTCTTCACCTCAAGGTTATATTCTATAACAAGTTAAGTACACTTCCAATCTTATTGCTCGTGCTCTTCTCTTCGAAAAGACAATAAAAAAGGTGATACTTTTAGGATTAGTCCACCCATGTGATAAAGGAGGGTCCCACACTAGTGGTTCTTAGATTTCGTCAAGCCATGATAGGGCAACGATGATCGATGAAGACCACTGAGGCATGATCAATGGTCCAAAAGAAGTTTTTTCCTTACTTAGTCATTATGAGCCAGGAATTTATAAGGTTGTCGCCACCTAGGGTGGGCAGTCCTCTATTTTAGATATGATGGACATGGGTGATGTAATTTATATGCTCGGATGTACGATCCTTAGGGATTGTTTTAGGAAAATTCTCGGTTTGTCTTCGATGACTTACATAGAGAATATCCTAGAATGATTCTAGATGCAAAATTGCAAATCCATTGACTTACCTATCGGTAAAAGCCAGAGCCTTAGCTATTGAGTGAATCCTCAGATTGCTTTGGGAGAAACAGATGACCTATATTCCTTGTTTTTTTCTTTGTTGTGGGAGCCTAAAGTACGCTATGTGGGCGTATTCGGCATGATAAGTTTTATCTTTGATAAATGGTTAACTGAGTTGTTCAGACTTTGACCTTGCTCATTAGATTGTGGATAAAATGCTTTATTAGAAGCATATTAATTTGCTCCTTGTAAAATTCAATGCGCTGGTTGGGCGCATCTGCGCTAGTTGGGCGCATTAAGAATGAACGCAAATTGGTCACCAAAAATATCTTTAGAGAGGTTATTGCGCAAGAGGTAGTGATCTTAAATCATTTCATGTGAGGTGCACATGGTGGATTCCGTTGTATATACTTATCGCAAGAGGTGCTGATAAGGCTTATATTTGGAATCTATAATTGCGTAAGCTGTGGTCTTTTTTTTAAAAAAAATCGATCACTTATTTTGAGATGATGGGATATTTGACACTATTATGGTTTGTGTCATAATGATTAGCAAATGATGATGTCAGCAGGCAAGATTGGCTCACTCACACGAGCAATCGCCCTTGGCGCTTAGGAGCGAGCAAGGTTGAGACTAGTGGTTTATTTTTTATTTGGAGCCAAGAGAGGCTTAAATAATCCACCATGCATGTGCATGCATTAAACAACTAAAAACAGATTTTTAGCATGTTAAAACAAGGCTAAATGACTCCTTAGATGGCATCTAAGTGGCCCAAAATACAAGGCATACACAATGGCCAAAACATGGAGCATGCAACACATGCTTCCAAAGCATTAAAGA